AAAAAAAAACCCAAACCAACTCCAAACACCTCATATATGTACCAGGGTGAAACAAATCAGACATAAAAGATCCACCAAAATCGCAATAGCGTACATGAACAGGATGAGTTCTTCTTCTGTTTTTCTAACACTCTGAAATGTGATATGCTTATTTTGTTGCTGATCTGAATTTCGGAGGCCGTGGGAAATGGCTTGTTGTTGGTTATATAATCAGAAATCAAAGAACTGCATGGGAGATAGCTAAGAGGCAGAGTACTTGCCCTGCAAAGCCCTAACTTCAAAGCCCAGCAAACAATAAAACAAAACAAAATCAAATAAAACGAATTTATTTTTTTATTTTTAGTTTTTTTTCAAAATGGTCTTTTTAAAGGAGAACTTGGTTTAGCCAGGCATGGTGGCCAAAAGACCCCAAAAAAGAGGAAAACTTGGTTTAATAGTGTAACATGTTGAAAAGTGAGTTGTAAAATTGTAGTAGCTTGAGTCAGTTCTGGATGAAATAGCAACTCAACACGCGATTGGTCTTTTGTATCTTCCTCCACGGCTTCACGAAGGATTCACTCTGCCCTGTTCCACGAGGGGCTTCGAGGACGCGGCGGGCGCCCACGCCTGTCCTCCCCTGGGAGAGCGCGGCAGGAGGGTCCAAGCCCGACCGGCCAACTTAGTTATCTACTGAGAGCCCGTCTCAAAACAAATACCATTCCAGAAGGGCAGAGAATGTGGTTCAGCGCGAAACCCTGGGTTCAATCCCCAGTACAAAGAATTCAAAGAGGCTTTTTTCTTCAGGCCGTGGAGTCGCGCCCCTCAATGCCCCGCGCTCACTCTCGCCGAGGTAGCCGCTCCGCAGACGTGCGCCCCCCGGGCCGGTGCTCGGACAGCGCGCCCTGCTGGGAGCTTCGGGACTCCCCCGCGCAGGGAGAGAGACCTCCCGCGCTCTGCTATGGCCGGTCAAACCGCTCCCAGGCCAGTGCTAACCGTCCCTAGGCCCATAACAAACAATTCTAACAAACGGCAGAACGTAGCACTCTGTTTTCCTCTACGGCTGGAGAACCTTAGAACCACAAGGGGCTCGGCGCTCTCCGGGCCTGCGTCACGAAGGCGACGCTCGTTCACCACCCCGGCCTCCGCGCGCGCCGCCGCCGGCAGAGGCCGCCCCGGACTTCCGGCAGCAGCGGCGCTCGCTCGGCACTTCCGCCTGCGGCAGAGGCCGCCCCAGACTTCGGCCACAGCGGCGCTCGCTCGGCAGTTCCGCCTCAGCCACGGCGGCGTGCCTGCGAGATGGCGGAGGCGGAGTTGCGGGCGGCCCTCGAGCAGCGCCTGGGCGCCCTGGCCATCCGCACGGAGATCGTGGAGCACCCTGAGGTGAGGCGCCCGCCGTAGGGCTGACTGTGGGGCCGCCGGGGTGAGGTGGAGCCGACGTGGCTGGTACCGCCCTTCCTCGGTCCGAGTGCAGGGGCCCCGACGGGCAGAGCAGAGGCTTCTTGACTTGGGCCGTGAAGTTGCCGTGAGGGCATTCACGTTTTCTACCTTGAGTGACTTAATTCCGTAGCAGCCGCACATGGAAACGGCTCGTCCCCGGGGTAGACGCGTTGCCAGGCCGGACTGCCATTGGGAGGCTGCCGAGTCACGCAGCCCGTGTATGGCGGGAGACCGCGGTCAATGCTGTCGTTCCCCCACCTTTATCAGTGTACGCCAGTTTCTTCCTTATGCTTTCGTAGTAGGACACCTCCTCCTCCCCAAGGTTACAGAAATGCGTGGGGCAGGGGGAACGGCAAAATCTTGCTGTCGTACAGATTCGTCTCCAACTTGTGTTCGATCCTCCTGTATTAGCCAGCTTCTTAACGCATAGCCAGGTTTAGCTTTACAAGCATCTGCACATACAAATGAAATAATTTCCGTCTTCCGTCTGTGTCTCCGTCTTGGCACTGGGGATCAAGCCCGGGGCACTGTACCACAGTTACATCCCCATCTTTCCTTGAATTTTCCATCCCCCTTCTGCTTTAGCCTCCTAAGTCTCTCATCCTCATCTTACAAATTTTAACATGGGTCACTGCATCAAGCTGAAGATTTGCAGATATTTCGTGGAACTGGAGTGTAATTTGAGTGGTGCAGGGTCATAAACTTAACCTAAAGTTCGAGTGACAACTGATCATGGCTACAGTGGTTATCTTTAGAGAAATACATTGTTAGTAGCCCTCACCTTCACGCGTTTACAACTTTTCTCTCACCTTCCTGCCAGAGTGACGCCCTTTCTTTGTGCGTACTGCCGTTTTCATGTTTTTAATGTGTTAGTCCAAGACTTTAATTCACTGTCCTCTCCCTTACTCAGATTTGCAAAGTGGAGGTTGTCACGTGGTCGGGATGTAATGGAATGCTTAACGATAGTAGTAGTGTAGGGCTGCTGGACAGTTTTCAGTACCAAAAGTTTAAAAAAGTTCTTTGAAATGCAAAGGCTTGGTTACTCATATTTAGTACCCTGGAACAGAGACATTGCCTGAGGTCCTCAGATAGCACGAGTTCATAGTTACTTGGCAATAAGTTAAATAGTCTGTACCAGTTACTTTCTAACACTGCGGTTTTTACCCAGCAGGCAGAATGCGTATGAATGTGTATATGTGTATGTTTTTCTAAACTTCTCATGTATTTTATAGGTGTTCACAGTTGAAGAAATGATGCCTCATATCCAGCATCTGAAAGGAGCACATAGTAAGAATCTTTTTCTTAAAGACAAAAAGAAAAGAAGCTATTGGTTGGTGACAGTTCTTCATGATAGACAAGTTAATTTAAATGATCTTGCCAAGCACTTAGGTGTTGGGAGTGGAAATCTGCGGTTTGCTGATGAAACAGCCATGCTAGAAAAACTAAAAGTTGGCCAAGGTTGTGCAACACCCCTGGCACTCTTCTGTGATGATGGAGATGTGAAATTTGTTTTGGATTCTGCTTTTCTGGAAGGTGGACACAAGAAGGTATACTTTCATCCAATGACTAATACTGCCACCATGGGATTGAGTCCTGAAGACTTTCTCAGATTTGTGAAGACAACAGGACATGACCCCTTAATAGTAAATTTTGATAAAAACTGAGCTGGTGGGGGGGTGTGTGGAAGGGTGGGTAGAGCTCAGTGTGAATCCTTGCCTAGACATGACCTAGCGAGACCCTAGGTTTGACCCCAGCATCACAATGGAAGAAAAAAAAACAAAAAAAAAAACCTACAGCTGGGGTAATGTTTAAATTTCATTTTTTTAAAGAGTGAATTTATTTCTGAAAGTTTTTTTTGTTGTTGTCTTTTTCAGACAGTATTTTTTTTACCCAATTCATTTTACGCTGGCCTTGAGCGTACTATGTAGCCCAGGCTAGTCTCAAACTCTGATCTTGCTGCCTCAGCCTTCCAAGTGCTGGGATTACAGGTATGCACCACCACATCCTGCTGAAAGCTGTTTTTCTTACAGTTTTTAAAAAGAACTTAAAGTGACTATCATTTTAGGAGGAAAGTTCTTTTTTGAGATAGTCTCACTATATAGTTAAAGCTGGCCTTGAAACTCACTGTGTATTCTGGCTGGCCTCAAACTCAGCCATCCTCCAGCCTCAACCTCCTGAGTTCTGGAATTACAGGCGTGAACCACTACACCTGGCCAAAGAAAGTTCATCTTTACAATGCTTTATTTCTTTTCTTTTTTTGCGGGGGAGGCATGTGGTACTGGGACTCAAACTCATGATCTTATGCTTTCGAGGCAGGTGCTATGCCTCTGAGCTATATCCCCAGCCCCCAAACATGCTTTTCTTAAAAGCATGTATTTAAGTAGTACTTTCAGTTTGCTCAGACATTCTGTCTTCTATCCCCAATAATATCTGTTCATTACAGGTCTGCCCTTCAACAAAAGGATTTTAAGATGAACTAGTTTGTGCTTTTAGTGTTCTGTGTATTTAAAAAAAGTTACAGACTATTACATATAAAATTTTACATATGATAGCATACATAATACAGAAAAACAATAAAAAAAATGGACTCCCCAGGAAGATAATTAAAACTAGCTTGGGGCAAAGACAAAAACTTTACATTGTTGGATGTTTCTTTATAAACCAGTATTTTTTTTCCAGGAAAAAAATAGTGTTTTACTTTTTTTGTTGTTTTGAGACAGGGTCTCTATGTAGTTTAGGCTGTTTTTATTTTTTTTTCTTGTTTGTGTTGGGGATTGAATCCAGGGCCTTGTGCCTGTAAGACAAGAACTCTACCACTAAGGCACATCCCCAGCCCACTTAGGCTGTCTTTAAACTCAACTAGGTAGGCAGCCCATGCTGGCCTTGAACTCATGGCAAGCCTTCTGCTTCAGACTCCCAAATGCTGGGATTACAGGCATGTGCTACCACATCTGGCTTGTTTTAAAATTCTTGTAGTTTTAATCTAGAAAACAAACTAGGGATGTAAAATTGTAATCATTCTATTAAAATCACACTTTTGTTTTGTTTTGTGGTACCAGGGATGGAACTCATGACCTTGCACTTTGCCAGGCAGGCGCTTATGCCACTGAGCTATATTCCCAGTCCTGAAATCACACTTTAATACTCGATAGCATAATATATATTATGCCATTAAAAAGTATTTATATTTAGTCTTTGTTCAGCGGTTAGAAATGTGTACATACTGTACACTGTACAAATTTCTTCTGTCCTTTACCCTATTTTACTGTCCTATTTCAATGATATTTTTACTTACCACTTTAAATGAGACGTGAACTAGTAAAATACAGTCCTTCGTTAAATGGAAGCTATTTAAACATGAAAAGTGAGAAAATCTGACATTTTTCACTTATATTCAAACAAAAGCTTTTCATTAAAATTTGTCATGTAAATGTTCATATTTTCCTTTAGTACAATAGAAAATTTTTTTCGGGGGGGAGGGCCTGGGGATTTAGCTCAGCGGCAAAGCGCCTGCCTGGCAAGCGCAAGGTCATTGAGTTCGGTTCCCAGTACCGGAGGAAAAAAAGAAAAAAAAAAATTTTTTTTTTATTGTTTAGTGTTACTGGAGATTGAAGCCAGGGCCTTTGTACTGAGCTACACCCCCAACCTTTTCACGTTATTTATTTTGGGAAACTTAGTTAGGTCAGTTGAGTTGCCAAGACTAGGCCTGAACTTGTGATCCTCCTGCCCAGAGTTCTGCGATATGTGCGCTACCATGCCCAGCTATTGAATAGTATAGTCTTAATTACATTTTCCTGTTTGATTCTTCAAAAAACATTTCTACGTAGTAGGTATTATACTTAACTTTCACTATCTTCTACTACTTACTGCAAGGCAAAATAAAAGGACAACCTTATTCTCAGATTCCATGTTTTTACCAACCAAAAGCCTATTTTGAGTTCCTCTGCACATAAAGAATGGCATCATAGAATTTGAGGACCTTGAATATCTGTTCTAATGGTGAACACAAACCTAGACAGATTGATTTTAAGGACACAAAGCCAGTTGCTTTCCAGGTCTGGGTGAAAGTGGAAGATTAATTTGTGCAGCCTATTAGGTTAATTCCCCCTTCTCTGACATTTTGCTTACCAAGCTTTCAGTTACCTGTGGTCAACTGCAGCCCAGGGATATTAAGTGGAATGTTCCAGAATTAGAGTTCATATGCTGTTCTGAGTAGCTGGATGAAATTTGATGCCATCCCAGATGAAGATGAAATTTCATCTTTCCCATGAAAGAAATCATTCCTTTGTCTAGCGTATTCATGCTGTATATACTACATGACCATTAGTTAGCTTTCTCAGTTACTAGATCAATTGTGGCTCAACTGGGTGGTACTGCAGCTCGTGTTTCAAGTGCCCGTTATGTAGTAGCCTAATGTTATGTCACACTTTCCTATGTCATTACCCACCTCATTTCATCTCATCTCACAGGCATTTTGTCATCTCACAACACAAGTAGCACAGTAAGATTTTGAGAAAGACCATATCATAACTTTATTACAATATACTATAATTGTTCTGTTTTATAATTACTATTGTTATTCTTACTGTGCCTAACTTAGAAACTAAACTTTACCATAGGTAGATACAGGAAAAAAAGTATAAGGTTTGATACTATTTGTGGTTTTAGGCATCTGCAAGTGTCTTGGAACATATCTTCTGATAAAGGGGACTACTGTAGATTGTATTTAAATCTACACTGGGAATAAGAATTGACAGACTTTGTCTTTTTTTCCCCCAAATCTTTTAATACTCATCCCCAAATGATGAGGACGAAATAATCTGAACCAAGTTATGGGTTGTGTCTGAGAATCTCCAAGGCAAAGAGTAAGTTGGCTAAAAATACAGTTTTTAAATGATTACTAACCACTTGTTATAAAGAAAAAAATCACCTGTTTTATTTTTATATCTGTTTGCAAAGTGAATGTTAATCCAACTAAAATGTTTGAGAAACAGTTTAAAATGAAAATAAATGTTTAAAAAGACAAATCAACCAAACAATGGTGTCTTGTAAGTTGGATTCTTGTGGCTGATAATAGTTATTGTCAAGTAATAAACATTTTGCCATCCAACTCCAAATCCCTTGTTAGCATTTAATTTTAAAGGAAATGTTACAGCTTTTATATTACTTGATTTGGTATTTAATAACAGTCATAAGTACAATGGCAGACACTGAAACAGAGAACCCTTAGTAGAAAACAAAAAGACAATTTAAAATTAAGTTTTGTTAAAGGGTGCTGTAAGTGCAACATTATTCATTAAGCATTCTTTTTTAAGGCATTTTCATTGTCCAGATATATCAACATGTGCATCAAGGTTTATATTATAAAATGGGCTCCTTTTGTATTACTCATTCAAGGTTTAAAGAAAAAAAAAAATCTCAGGACTAAGTAGCTGAGAAGAAAAACAAATTCACCACTTTTCTCATAGAAAGTAACTTAAAACACAAAAGCAATTTAGCATACAGTATTCCTCCCCACTGTAAGTCCAGATTTGGTACAGTACCATTCTCACTTCCTGACAAAAAGGTGTAAGATAGTACAGGCTGTAGTACTTCTAAGTGGCTGTTATTCTATAATGTGCAGTGATATTTTTTTAAATCAGGTTTTTACCATGCCTTGCATGAAAGGTGCTACATGTGAACCTGTCTTATGAACTCTTTGGTAACCAGTAATTTAAAAACCTCAACCAAAACATTTCCACATGGCTAGATCTGAAACACATTATTGGAGTTCCTGGCCAGAGCTATTACCCACTATATTGAACTTTTCAGTCCAGTATATTGAATTTTGCAGTTTCCTTAGCATTTTAGGTGTTTATAATACAGCCAGATACTTAAAACCGTCCAGGTCCTAGTGAGGAATATGGTCCTGGTTAGTTCCAGGTGGCTTTACTATTTTGCTTGGCAGATGTTTATGTAAGGGAAAAGAAAGGCTTTCTGTGAAGTCTGCTTCTGAGAGTTGCTTTTGGAGAAAGGAAAACATTCATGTAGCTATTATCTAAAGTCTTTTCTTGAAGTGCCATGAAAAATGTGATGAATATAATTGAGAGTATTTGAATTTTTGTAGTCCCGGTGTATTCCTTTGGTTGTTTCTTCAATTGTCTTTTCTCAGGATCAGTTTATTCAGATTTAGTACTTCACAGGCTGTCATTCAGCACTTTCTTTTTTAGCGGGGGGTGGGGTGGTTCCCGGTACCGGGAATCGAACTCATGACCTTGTGCTTGCCAGGCAGGCGCTGTGCCGCTGAGCTAAATCCCCAGCCCCTCATTCAGCACTTTCTGTTGAAGTGATAATGGTTAATTCAACAGGTTCTCTATTTTAGGATTTTAGTATTTTGTAGAGGCCAAACTGATGTCATGTGCACATTAGGTTTCAGCTTTCAGTAATTCTCCTGGGATGTGTCCTAGTTGTGCAAATTAGATGCTACTTAATATAAATCTAAGTTACCCACTTAGTGTATTTAGCTAAAACAATTTTCTAAATTTATTTCCAACATACCCAAGCAAAAATAAACTCACACTTTTTACATCAAGTGTCTCTAGCCTGCCATGATACCCATTTAATAATTTGATACTTGAATCCAGGGAGTCATGAGAGATAAAGGCTAGAGAATAGATTTTTAATATTTTTGTTGTGCAATATTTGTATTTCAGTAAGATTCCTTTGTATTTACATTTACATAGCACCTTTCATCCAAGAATTTCAAAATCGTAGTATTAATTGGTAAAATCTACATTAATGGTGGCATTGCGTTAATAAATCCAAATTCTCTAACTTCCATTTCAATTTCTGCTCTACTAAACATGCTGTCTCTTTTTTACTGATAGTCTTTCCAAAGATAACTATACACACAACACTGCTACCAGAGAGATGGGGCTAAGAGGTGAGGTGGGTGTGTTTCATGGCTACTGGGTTAGTGATGATACACATAGTTTATAAACCATACATTATGGAGTACTGAATAATTCCAAAAGTTCTTTAGAGCTGGTAATGAGAGCCTAAGAAGTATACTGTTAAAAATAATAATTTCTCATTTCACAAGATTACTTTGATATTTATGTTAAATAATGAATTTGCACTAATACGTATTGATGCATTTTTTGGACTTCATAAGAAAATAAAACTGTGCTATAAAATTGGAATTACTAAAAAATTGATGTTTCTCTGGGTTAACTAAATCTACTTTTTTGTGCTTCTTCCAAATGTTTAAGGTAACAAATGCATACAAATATTTCAAAAGTTACCAACTTTAATGTAATATTATAAAGGACAAAACCCAAAAATTCTTATTAAGAAATGATAATCTTAATAAATGAGTTCCTGACAAAATGCAGACCATAGTACATTATTTACATTATTTTTTGCTGTAAGAAAACTTCTTAAGCAACAGTCAGCTCTTCAGTTAAAAAAAACACACATACATAACCCAATAGCAAAGAAGTGAAATGAGTTAAAGCACAACAGCTTTATCTTGGTAATGCTATCTGCTGGAAAACCATCTTACTAAAAAAAGTTTCAGAAAAACACTTTTATCTTGGATCCATGTATGAATGCTTAGTGTACCTTAGTGAGGAATATGGGCAGATTCATATAACTAAATTTTTATAACTCTTATATCATTATGGATTTTTCAGATTTATCTTATAACTGAATTTCTTTTGAAGTGCATCAAAGTAATTGCTTTAAAAAAAAGTACCAACACATGCAGTTTGCAAACTGAAAAGGCTCTGACATGCTAAAACAATTTTCTGTGCATCTTAATATATAATACATTCCACAAAATACTACAGATTTAATTTAGATTTACACAACTAAATGGGTAGCTTTTGACTAATACTTAGAAGGAGCATTAAGCAAACATGGATAAATTCATAAACAAATGATGAAGAAAGTAGACTGTATTTGGAGTACTTCTTGTAACTCTTGACCTTTAGTGAGAGAATGTCCTTTATTCAGCAGACCTTAACAATACACGATACAATGTATAGGTCAATCCTAAAACTTTCTAGAACTTTTGGCAGTTGAATCCAGTAGTGCTCCTTGATTCAAGGAAGGAATGAAGGTTTGTATTTCTTGCCTGCTCTATTCACGAAGGACTGTTTAAAGTCTTAAAAGATTTTTTAAAAAAATGGTGCTATAGTTGCTAGGTGTGTCTTGTTACTTCACAAATAAAGGCTTCATACTGAAAACTGAAGGACATTTTTCTCTCTGTATTTCGTTGGAAGGTAGAAAGAAGAAAGAAAATATAAGAAAAGCTTAAAGATAAGAGGGATATATACTACAAAGCAGCCACTGTAAGAACATGAGCATGCACCAGGTATTTCTAGGGAATGAGAGTGTGACAGAAAATCAGAGACAACTTTTCTTTGGTTCTTCAGAGAACAACTCATTTACTCTCGTCAGTTATCAAGAAAACTGTGGAGAAGTTATTTCTATCATAAAAAATTTTACATTATTCACTAGTAGACTGATAGAAAAATAATTTTTAAACCTTCTTTCCTACACTCAGTCAAAAACCCATGGCAACCAACTGATCTTGCCTGACTAGTACATAAGTCAGAATGCCAATTAATTAAGCAAGCAGTATTTACATCTGTTAATGCATGTGCACTTTTCTCTCATTTACGTCAGTTAGTTTATATAAATGAGACTAATCTCATTTACATTTGAAGCAGTAAACTCACCCCTTGGCCCACATGTCATGTAGTGGATAATAGAATTAGGAGCTTTGTTGCTCCCTAGACCTGCTTTTTGAATTTCTGCTTTCTTGTATTTTGTCCACATCTGCAGGAGAAAAGCATTTCATATTATTTAGTCAAAGGTTAAACATAAACAATTCAAAAAAGATAAGAAACTAAAGAGCTATTATGCAGTAGGGAAAGTAGAAGGAATCTGTTAACTGGGAAATTTATTAATCTTACACACATCTCATTACTTGAGGCTGATTTTTATATCTTACAGCTGTAAAGAGCATCATGAAAGCTATTTAAAAAAAAAACAAAAACCAAAGTAACAGTTACAGTTTTTCCTATGTCATACAGGCTTACATACTTTATTTATTTAGTAAATGGTTACAGTACAGTTTTTAAAAATTATTTATTTATTTATTGGTCTATTTGAGGTAGGGTTTCATTTGAGGTAGGGTTTCAAGATAGCTTGAACCCAGTAGGTAGCCCAGGCTGGCCTTGAACTCACAGTAATCCTCCTGCCTCAGCCTCCCAAGTGCTGGGATTATAGGCATGCACCACCATGCCCGGCCAACAATACAGTTTTAAAGTCAAAAATCTCGCACACAACAGCAGGAGCATCCAACTATCTAGAATGAAATGTATGTATTATTTACTAAGAAAACTAGGGCTGAGGCATATTTTACAGGCAAATAATATATATCTGGTTACACTGACTATAGCTAAAATTGCTTTGTTCAAAGTGGACCTAAACTATGACATTATGTTTACAGTACCACATAAATCATACAGGTATAATTTCTAGAAATCTACCATAGGAATATAAAAGTAATTCAGTCCTGTTGTTTATGAAATGATAGTAGTTAACCTTAAATAATTCTCAAGTAATCCTTTGTTAAATTAGATATTTATGTAAGTGTCTTAGAGAAAATAAGTGAAGATGCTTCATTGAGTTAGAATTGATTCCCTTTTACCTTTAACAAGTGTTGGTCATCAAGGTAGATTTTCATTTACACCAACTACTAATGCTGATGAAAAAAAATTTCTAGGAGAAACTTTCCATGAGTTACAAATTTTTTCCCACCACTAAAAATTTGATTCCCAGGGGCCAGGGATATAGCTGAGTGGCATAGTGCCTGCCTGGCAAATGTGAGGTCCTCAGTTTGATTCTCAGTACACGCCCCCCCAACTGCCCCACAAAAATTGATTCCAAGTGCTACAAAGAAATACAAGTAAGACTAGTGTTTGTTTTGGGGAAGTTTTATGACCTGAGGCAAGTGACAATTTCTAAAGGAAGTCTATAGTGTGCATTGTCAGTCCTCAGAACACATGGACACAGCGTGTATCTATCTTTTTGAAAAAATACATATATATAGCCATTCAGTAGGAAATAGTTGTTTCTTGTAAGTTTAATTTTGTTAAATAGTTAAATATATAATAGCACATGATCTGCAATGTATTTTGAACAAATGCAGTTAATATTTTAAAGTGCTATGGCCAGATGTGTGATATTTGAAAATTTGAAATGTTTGTGAAAAAAGATACTTGACTCAATTTGGAAAAGAAATGACACTAACTTTTATATTTGGGTCATATATGGCCTCCGTCTAATCTCAGCCATACCTACCATTAATTTTATTATTAGATTATAAGTAAAAAAAAGAATATTAGCACAAAAATATAGAAGTGTTAGGATTGACAGGCAAAAAGCTGACAGTAAAATAGAATGATGTATGTACACAGAAAGTCAGGCCGGGCGTGGTGGTGTATGTCCTGTAATCCCAGCACTCGGGAGGCTAAGGCAGGAGGATCATTGCAAATTCAAGACCAGCGTCGGCTACAAAGTGAGTTGAAGGCCAGCCTGAACTACATAGCGAGACCCTGTCTCAAAAAGACACATACACACAAAGAAAGCATACTAACTAGTACTAAAAATTTGCAAATTTTCTGACTGTGCTCATTTGATTACCATTTTTAGTACTAGATATTAAAAAAAAAAAAACCCACAGTCAACAATATAAAAGGGACCTAGTCTCTGAAATGATCCTGTGTAGGTACAAGAGGATAGCTAATTTCACAGATTTCATGTTTAATTTGTAGATTATTTTAAGAACAAGTTTAATGTAATAACAAATACAAAATAATTCCTCTTCATTTAGTGACATTTCAGCCAGGTGTGGTAAGACATGCGCATAATCCCAGTACTGATGACGTGGGAGGATTGCAAGTACAACCATGGCCTGGGCAATTTAGTGTCTTAGCAACACCCTATCTCAAAATAGAAAGGGCTTAGAATGGGACTGTTGCTTAGTACAAAGACCCCTGGGTTCAATCCTCAGTACCATGACAAAAACAAAAACAGACAAAAAACCCCAAAACAAAACAAATTAAAAAAAAAAAAAAACAAAAACAAGGTCACATTTTAAAGGCATTCCAGATGGCATAATATTTAGGCTACAGTAAAATGGCAAAAACATTCCAGAGACAAAGCTAAGAATATACTCCTCTTCCTCTAGAAGTAAATCAAGGTTACAGGTTTTTTAATATTCTAGGACCTACAAATGCAAGGTTAGCTAATTTGTTCTGAAAGTGATAGATGCAAACTAAGATAATTTAAGTTTATGCTACTGTAGTCAGAGTTTGTAAATATTGTTAGTTCTAAAATTTATTCTAAAAACATACTTATTTTTTATTGGTTATAAGTCCTAATATTACATGTTAGCATATATTAATTTTCAAAATTTTTTTAGAAGTATAATATATATTAATTATACAAGTAATTATTTATACCACTTTGTAAACTTATTACCCTTTTACAAGAGATGCAAAAATACAAATTTTCAATATGTTGCATATGCTTTATTTTTCTTTAACTCTATATTAAAAAACACTGGAAGAACTATTGTCTTAACTGATTCCAAGCAAACAAGTCATTTTGAAAGATAATATAAATGCTCCTAGTCACTGTGAAATCATTTATATTTGATGGAGTTTTTTTTAGAAATAACACTGCATTTACAAATAGTCACAATATTTTAGATCTGGATAACGTTTTATTATTATGGGCATTAGTTAAAATTTACTATATATAGTGTTAAATTGAATTATTGTTGTTTTAAATGCAATTAAATTGAAAATAGAACAAGGACAGATGGCATAATTAAATGATAAAAGGAAATGACATCTTTTTATATTTTCCTTATTGCTACTGAAATGTACATTCTTGGAAAACAGAAGAGCAAGAGAGAAAAGGTGGAACAGAAAGGTAGGAAGGGAGGAAATGAACATTCTTCTCAGAAGCAACAAAGCAAACATGACTTGGAAATGGCTTCTTGGTAATGAAACATGCAATATTTTAACATGCTTCCGGATATCAAAGTAATAACCTTTTATCAAGTGACAAAAAATGTGAAGGAAGAGAATGTGTGGTTGAGGTTTTTAAAGGCATGCAGAAGATGTACTATATAATTAACATTTCATGCAGGTTTTGGTGTGGGTACACATTCGTGTGTAGACACATGCCATCATATACAGCTGAAGACTATGCAACAATCTTAAAATATAAACCTAACCGAATGGTACAACAGTAGCTCTTCAAGGGGATGAGAGAAGCGTAATGTGTATCAAATAACATCAATATATTACGCAGTTTTGATTATACACAACCATATTCATACCAAATAGTCTGATTATCCTCAGAAACAAATAAAGCAGCTTCTGTGTCATCAGAATAGAGGCATGCAGGCAGGATACGATTATTGCTATCTACAGAGGACTGTGGGTTACTATTACTTGGGTTCTGACTATCAGAGAACTGTTCACTACCTTTCTGTGCAGCTTTTTTTAAAGAGGCAGAAGCCTGGTTTGTTTCTCTGGTGGTCAGCCTGAGAGGTAACCCACTTATGTTACTAACTAATTCTGTGTTCAGGGATAAGAATGGCTGAGATGATTGAACCATAGTAAATGATTCTATGCTATCTTTACATGGTATTCCCAATACGTCATACGACATATTAGTAGTTGAAAAAGTTTGGCTTAGAAAATATGACCTTTTTGTTCTTGAGTTTCTAGCCTGGGGATATAGAGACTCAGGCAAATCTGTCGCTAAATCACTTTCGGCATAAGAACCTACACCCTGGGTTAGGCCACTAAGCATGTGAGAGGACCACGGGTGTAAAGGGTACTCACTAGATGCTGCAGTGATGCTGCTATCAGCAGCAGGCTGGGATGAGTCAGTGGACACAGGTAGTCTACTGTCCTTGGTCAAAAAGTCATGGATGCTTGTCCTTCGTGTAGTCCCTTCAGCTGTTGAGATTACACTGCTTGCACGAGGTAAAGTGGCATAAGGGTTGCTATCTTTTGATTGTCGTGACACAGAGGTTTCTTTTATAAATTTTATCTTTCCTTGAGTGCCTGGTGTAGGTTTTCCTGCAGAACTAATGACGTAGGCATCTTCAGACTTTCGAGAACCAGCTCTCACCAACTCAGGCTTAGTTGTCCGTCTATCACAGAAGTCCCCTGGGGTTTTTCCACTTACTGACCTGGCCAGACCACAGCTAACTGGCTTGTCTTTTCCCAAAAAGTCAGAAGAGACAGACAAACTTTTCATTACTTCATCTAAAAGATTCTCTTGACTTGAAGATTTTAACTGTTTAAAAAAATCAAAGCAGATAAGTAAATAAAATTATGTGGATCTTCCTTATATAAGAGCTATACAATATAAAGCTGGTATTGCTTAACACATTATAATAAAAAAACTCTATAAAGTTGAAATTATAGACATTTTAACTTGTGGTATTCACCTAAATAGGGTCATCATACATAAAACTAACCTGTATTGAGGTAAGCTTGTTACTTTCTTCTAAAAATTGTTGTAGAGTAACGACTTCACTTCCAGGTGAACCAGTTTTTGTCTTGTGGTGTGTTCGAGTTTCTAGTGATTCTGGCATTTTGTGCTGGAGCACTGGACTTGATCTGGTCTGTCTTTTCAAGTACTGGATTGGACTACTTCCACTGCTGGACCATGCCTCATAATCGTGAAGCAGGCTAAATTCTCCACTACTGTGGCTTTGTGGCCTGCTTTGGTTATTAACTGCACCTGCTTTAGGAGTAAATATTGTATTGAGACTTTAATAATAGAAATGAGATTACTATATGTCATAACACTATTGTATTTGTTGCCTGGGCTCTTATTCTTTGAGTAGCCAAACTTTCAAGCTTTGTACAGAAATGCTTAGGAAATCATGTTAAAATTTCACCAGTCTAACAACTGTCTGTCATAGCTTGCTTCCTTTTTTTTGTAAAGTGACAAATATTCTAACTTCCAAAAAGGCAAAAATTTGCTTTTACCACTATACTCAGAGCCTAAAGGAAGCCTTATACAAAGAAGGCACCTAATATACTGATGACTAAAATTCAGGTTTGAATAATTGTAAAATATTTTGCAATTTAAAACAAGAACATGATTACATTAACTTTAAATTATTTCAGAATGTTAAAGCTCCAAGTTGTTTTAAATGCAAAAATAAAAATTCTATTCTCTTTGCCTCTTTATGAAGTCCTCATTATTTATTTGAAGGGTTCTCTGCTTATCCTAAATGAATAATCTTGATTTTTGAACTGAATTAGCACACATATAAAGGAAGTCAAATGGAGAAATAATGTAATTAGATAGAAAATCCTAGTAAAAATGTGAAATCAAATATAGTATTTTGTTCTTTTTCTTTTTTTTTTTTTTTTGGTACTAGGAATCAAACTCAGGACCTTGCACTTGCTAGGCAGGTGCTGTGCCGCTGAGCTGCACCCCCAGCCCTGTTCTTTTCTCAAGATATTAATCATGGGCTGGGGATTTAGCTCAGTGGCACAGTGTCTGTCTGGCAAGCATAAGGGCATGAGTTCGATTCCTGGTACAGGAAAATAACAAAAAAACAAAAAAAAAGATGTCAATCATGTGACGGTTCTGGTCTGCTGTTGGTGTGGGGCCTAGAGAGCCTTAAAAAGTGCAGTTTAGATGGAATAGTATAGAATGGAAATTAGCTAGTTCTGGAATAAATCTCCCTAAAATCTATGCTATTTCTTAAAAGATGATCTGTTTTGATCAACAGTAAAAGCTGTTTTGACTAATTGCAAGGTTGCATTTTCTGTACTGATGGTACAACTTTCCACGGTTTCTTCATTATAAAGACATAAAAGAATTTATCTCAAGTTATATAAGATACAGAAATAAGATTTTCTGAAAATTTTTATTTTATTTTATTTATTTTATTTTTTTTGAAAATTTTTAATAAAAAATTCTTTGTATGTATTTTCAGAGTATATTTTTCTGCTGGATGTAATACAACTGTAAAATGAAGAAACTAACTTCCTTTTAAAAGCAGGTATTTCAGATCACTGAAATGAAGTCATAACATCAATGGTAAAATTACTACTTTTAAAACAAAATAATTTTATAACCCTATAAGGGATTTATGTAAAATCATAATTTTAACAACTGTGGACTATAGAAAAGAACTGTAATACACTGGTTAAACAATTCCAGAATTGAAAACACAGCCTAGAAAAAGATATTAGTCATAAAATTTCCAGAAATTTACATGAAAACTTCAACTTGGAATGAACATTAAAAAATTAGCCACGTGTGGTGGCACACATCTATAATCCCAGCACTTGCGAGGCTGAGGCAGGAGGATCACTACGAGTTCGAGGCCAGCCTGGGCTATAAAGTGAATTGAAGGCCAGCCTTAACTGCATAGTAAAACCCTGTCTCACGAAGTAAGACAAAACCAAAAAACCCCAAAAATAAAACAAAATGATAAAAAAAAAAATCTTCAATTAATTCTTCATAGAAGCTATAGTGGAACCATACACCTCCTGTACATCCCCCATAGAGAATTGCTTCTCAAAAGGAAAAACAAAAACCTCCCCTTATTTTGTGCATATATTAAGCTAGAAGTATTTGTGAAGTATGAGTAATGCAAGTTTAATGTACATGCATAATGAAAAAAATAAGGACAACCATTTAGGTGTAAAAGACAAAATGTAAGTAAAGTAAGGACCTACAGATAATTTGAAGTATAAAGATTACAATAAGACTATTTTAGCTGTGAAGATGAAAAACTGAAACCAAAATAACTGCTCCTGTTTTTACATTGGTATGCATTGAAATACATTTGCATTACAATGCAAAATAGATGTTCCCAAGAACTATGTTCAAAACATAAATGATCTGGACTTCATTCTTTACCTCAGAAACTTTTTTCCATCTCCAACATCTTCCTCCAACCCTCTGGTACCTGGGAGTTTAACTCAGGGTTGTACATGTTAAGTGTGTGCTCTACCACTGAACTACCCTCCAAGCCCTTATCCCATTTTGAAATATTACTGGAAATGGATGGAGCACATTAGTTAATTTACCTACAGCATACCTTTGACTTCATGGAGTGAAGCATTATTATTACTATTGCTAGTGGATGTTCTGCCACTATCAAGGCTGGCTGGTCTTGAGGCTAAATGAAAAAATCAGGAGACAGTGTGATAAAACTTACAGCTGAGAACAGTGAGTTTTACATTCTGATCACAGAATGCTTTGCAGAAGCAATCATGCATAGTGTCATAGGCTGAAGAAGTCTAGAGAGGTGAATCTTACAGATCAGAAAGAAAACACATTTCTAGATAGTTCAGAATGACAATGCAAAGCAGGATACTTAACAAAAAAATAGCTCAGATTCAAAGAAGAGAACATGTATATATTTATATTTGAAAATGATTTCTAGATGGATACTAGAACTTCTTTGGATGGATAGAATGACATGTTCCCCCAGTCTCCCCGAAATGCTAGGGATCAAGCCACTTAAAACATGAGACAAGAAACTCTACACAATGCAGTGATGCCATGAAGAAGAGGAATATAAACACTTGCACCGTTAATGTCATGTATTCCTATCTATACAAGCGAAATGATTTTACAGTTAACCTTGCCCTGTGGTACTTTTTAAAGTCCTGCTTACACCTGAAATTCCTTTAACATGTTATCCATTTGTTGCTAACGATAATTTAGTCTAATGATTTTTCAGATGGGAATTAAAAACCATAAAATACGGAAGACTGTGGAAAACTGGTTTCTTAAAAGTTCATCCTTTACTAAAATAATTTTTTTGTTTGTTTATTTGTTTGTTTGTTTTTTCAGTATTGGGAATCGAACTCACAACCTTGTGCTTGCCAGGCAGGCGCTGTGTGGCTGAGCTAAATCCCCAGCCCTAAAATAAATATTTTTAAACTATTGGTGAAACATATTTTTTATAACTAACTTTGTATAAAATGGCAACAAAATTACCTTTGAGGATTGTGCAGGCATACTTTATAAATGACCTTGATTAAAACAGGGAACACTCAGGTGAAGAAATAATCTTTAAGGGACAAAAGAAAGTATTAAGTTTGAAGAAATGGTAGAAGTAACTATGAGATGCAGGACAAGAAAACATGCTTTTTGGAGATGCTACATTCACCTACTTAATACAAGAATCTCAGCATTCCCATTAAAAATTTAATATGTGTTCTAAATAAAGTTACATCTTACCATGAACTCTTGATCCCGTACTGGAATCATCACTAATACCTTGTGGACTTATGTCTTCAAAGGATGTAGTATCTATATAAAACAGCAAAGTGGATATAAACATATATATATATATATATATTTTTTTTTTTTTTTTTGGTCTTTTTGAGACAGGGTCTCATCATGCAGTTCAGGCTGGCCTTGAGCTCACTTTGTAACCCAGGCTGGTCTCAAACTCGCAAGGATCCTCCTGCCTCAGCCTCCTGAGTGCTGGGATTATACGTGTGCACCACCATACCAGGCTATTTTTGTAAAAAAAGTTTCATTACAAAATTTATTTATGCAATACAAAAATTCTTTACCACATATAAAACATCTTGGTTTAACATGTTTTATAGAATCATCCAGAAACTGGAACTAGGAGTAAGAAACCAAATTGATTTACCTAGGGACAATACCAGAAGCAATGCAAAAATCTCCCCTCTGGTTCTGTAACATAAAGCAAAAATCTAGGTTGTTCTATATGGTTCTTTGGTTAAAACTGTAGTGTTTTAGGTTTTTTCAGGGGAAAAAAGTCCCAGAATGATATTTCCTCCTATTTTCACTCTTTATCTTGTTTACCTCTGTCTTCTTTTTAGTTCATTAGGTGTTTATTTTAAAGGGAGGCCTAAAAAGATTTTATGTATCTAATATTTTAAGTGTTTGAAAATTTCCCCAAACGAAATTCAGATTATGTTTTACTAATTATTTCAAGTTGTTTTTTAAAAGCACACAGGAGAAAGTCAATTTAAAATTTCTGCTGTCAACAGTTACACCACAGTGCAAATAGCAGACGGCCTATACCTTTATTATTAACCAACTGCTTGGATCTGAAGCCTGCAGAAGAGTTGACAGTTGAAAAGTTGATGGCTGTAGTAGAGAAGGCCATAGCTCCCAATTCTTTTCTCCTTTTACCCGTTGAAATATCATCAGGAACCTCCAAATTCTCAGTACTACCTGTCCACTGTCCTGCTAGGACCATGGACTGCACCAGGTCATTCATGGCTGGGATGCAAATGAAAGCAAATGAATCAGCATGGTTAATGTATCTGCTCTTATTTCTCTTTTGCATTATAAATGATTCTGCTTTTGTCTATGACTATGCAAATGAACATTTAAAAAACTGTAACTACAAGGTCATTTGAATTATTACATGCATTCAGCTGAATGAAATGAAGAGGCCAAAGGCTGATGAATTTCAATAAATACTTTTATCCCACCACCACCACCCCTTTAAAAAGACAGGAATTTATTTTTCTGTGTACAATTGCCATGCTTTTCTGCAATGATGTGCAGTTTAATTACAAGCCTTCATAATATGGTGTGTGGTGACAAAAATGGAATGAATTAAGATGGAGAGCAATTCTTATATAGCATCATTATTGAAAATGAAAAAGAGTCCTTGGTCAGAGCAGGTTATTGAAGAAACAATTCATTTTTAAATCAAGTAAGTATACCACTGAATAGAAACCTGAAAGAGATGATATCCAAATTGACAGACATTTAATATGATTATGTAATTACTCAACCACTTAAAACCCAGAATATTATTGTATAAAGAATGACAAACATTTTCAAGGGTTATAGGCCATTTTATTTATTTATTTAATTGGGTTCATTAAGGAAATAAATATCTAATGCTAAAGGATTTGTTGTATTTTTCCTTAAGTAAATTTCTTTGGGAAAAAAATCTCTATGGCATACAAAATTAAGGTTTTTTTCTATCAACTTTCAGAAAGCACTGGAAATTTACAAGTATACTGCATATATTACTAAACAAATGCATATATATGTATTAGTATAGAAATACATATAATGCAAATTCAATGCTAGCTTTGAAAAATATTCTTCCAGCTCCTTGAATTAAAGGAAGACTGCACTTTGTAAAATAAGTAATTGGTACAGTCCAGAGAAAGGTTAGTGAAAAATTAGTAATGGAAGCCAGTGTAGTCATTTGAAAGAAGCTGAACTGTCATAAAGTCTTACACATAGAACGACGGTAGCAGGCCTTCATTTTGTCTTTATCCTTCGGTCTGTTCCTCAAAAAGGGCAGTCTTTTCAGTGCAACCACTTTAATGTCAGAGCATGAGGAAAAACAGAAACGGAAATGAAAGAAAAAAAGGAAGAAGAACAGATGGGAGTTAAATGTTGAAATTAAGGACAGAAATGAATGTTGAGTTTCAGCTATGTATGCTATATTAAAGCTATTATTCTCATGCTGCTGAGTGATAATGAAATATGAAATATGTACTTTGATACTTTAAAATACTTGGAAAAGCACTGAAGACAATGATGAGGAACATACTTTGAAAGCTTGGATTGAATTTCTCTAGTTAAATTGTAAAGGTAAATTTTTAAAACTAGGATATTGGTAGTTTATACATGTATACAATGAAAATGTACAAGGCACTTCTATTTTCTTTGAATATTTTTAGGCTGTATTTTAGAAAAAAATTTAGGGAAATGTATATTCTATGAGAGTTATTTTAGTAATACAAAAATCAGAGTGCCCAGATGTTTGATTTTGGTTTTTCTCCGGTACCAGGAACCGAACTCACGACCTTGCGCTTGCCAGGCAGGCGCTTTTGCCGCTGAGCTAAATCCCCAGCCCCCCAGATGTTTGAAATAATCTATAGAACTCTGCCTTAAAAACTTTCATTACTCTTCTAAACTTTATAAAAAAATATTGGTTTAAACTGGATTCTAATGCATTATTTAACAGCAATATGGAAGTACATATTCTTTCAACCAAAGTCTCCCTAAAAATTAAATAAGCAATTATATTGGGTCCTTTTTACAAAAGGTTGGTTGGGAGGAAGAAGGGGGGAAAAAAAGAGTATTTTGATAATAATACATGCTAGCACTGAGCCCTGATAAAGCTAAAAGAAGGCATCCCAAACCAGACAAAAATATATACAGCATTTAAAAAGCATTTTGAAGGATGCCATGCATGAAATTAAAAAAATCAAAGGAAGCATTGTTCAAAAGATTTATGTCAGTTGAAGGATTATCACTCAAGAATTATTAGAAGTTATTAGAAGAAAAAATTCACTAGAGCGCTTGATTGTTTAGCTACACTTTTAGTGAGATTTAAATATAAAAAATTATTACACTTTTTTGGAAAAGCAATTTAGAAGTTAGGAAAACAACCTGCATAAAGACTTAATTAAAAACATTATACACAGCCTAAATAGTTATTATTTCCTGGGGTATGCCATCATCTTGAAAATAACCAAAACTCTTGATAACTGACAAGTATTATTCATTAAAGAGTGCAAAAACACAGCGTTTAACTTGTTTGACTGCTATAAGGGAATCTTTTTTTTTTTTTTGTCTTTTTGAGACAGAGTCTCACCATGCAGTTTAGGCTGGCCTTGAGCTCACTTTGTAGCTTAGGCTCGCCTCGAACTCACAACGATCCTCCTGCCTCAGCCTCCGGAGTGCTGGGGTTATAGGCGTGCACCACCATGCACTGCTGTAAGGGAAATTTTGACCTATTTCTTGTCAAGCTTGGTAACCACAGCTGTTCTCAATGATTAAAATAAAATGAACTGAAAGCAATGCAAAAATGGATGCTTATCTCAAACAAAGCTGAATGGTTGCAGCATGCACATGTTGTCTTGTTTAGATATATTTTTCTCCTTTTTCTGTTTTCAACTGTGTTCAAAAGACTGCTTTACTGACAGACAGACACTCTTTCAAACAGGATAAAAAGAACTTTAAATGTGCCAGGGATGGAATGTGATTCTTTTTATGGCTATTATTTTGGAGATATATAATGTTCTTTTCCCAAAGCATACTTAAATTAAGGGAACGTGAGTATTGCTGAATTCTGTTTTTTTTTTTTTTTTTGGCTTTTTGAGACAGGGTCTTGCTTTGCAGTTCAGGGTAGCGCTGAGCTCACTTTATAGCCCAGGCTGGCCTCGAACTCACAACAATCCTTCTGCCTCAGCCTCCCAAGTGCTGGGATTACAGGCGTGCACCACCATGCCTGGCCTCTGTATTTATTTTAAAAATTCTAAAATTGAACAACTGTATGAAAGAATGACAACTTTATATTTCAGACAGACAAGATGACCTTGGAAAAGACTGTTAGGCCTTTCTTGTGTATGTTCTCATGTTGGAGTTGAAGTATCTTCCTTTAATTAAAAAAATTTCTTAACGTCAAATGTTTTATAACTGAACTTAGAAGATTTGCCACTTTTTAAAAGAAAAATTTCATAATCTCTCCAAAACAATAACTGCTAATTGGGTAAATGAGACTAAATGGCATAAGACCCAGGATAACAGTACTGTTTTGTGGCAATTCAGGATTAAACTGCTCTCTGGAGACTAGTATATGTGCAACTGTGTGCGTGTATACTTTTTTCTTGTTCTTGCTCACCTACAGAATCTAGTTTTTCAATGGCTACAGTTGTAATCTGAAATACATGCTATAAATGTTTAGTAAGCTACCTGCTAAAATACTCTTTTCAGAGATAAATCCCCTGATGCCAAAACACCTGTGTATAGTCCCCCCCACCCCATCTACCTCTGGGATAAGAAGCAGGTGCTTTTGCTTGCTATTTCTTTTTTTTGTTGTTTTTGCTGCTGTTTATTTCAAAAGAATGGTGTTGTGTACGCATGTGTTTAAAGTTTGGTAACACTACTGATAATATGAGAGGATTAAATTATCTGGTTTATGTTTTATAAGAACAGTGATAACTTCTTGGGCATCTTCTAAGGACTTAGTGTTGAACTCTTCTTTGAAATAAATTTTTTTAGACTTTGACTTTACTCTTGCTATTTAGCTAAGCAAGCACACTAGTAATGAAATAAAAAGGTTACAAGTTACATAAGGCTTTTTATAATGGGGTACTTCCAATTTATGATAAAAATTAAATCAAGTTTATATACAAACTTATATCTCCCCACTTCCATTTAATTTGAATTAAAACTTTACCAAGTATCCCTTAATAATTTTAACCTTCAGTTATTAGTAGAAAATTTGATAATAACTTTTTCCTTTTGCTTCTCCCAGTGGAATAACTTGCTGAAGAAAGTTTTGATAAAAGTACATGAGCAAAAGCTTCATTATAAAATGTATTATTTTCATTAACTTATAGACATTTATGAAAATGAAATCTTAAGACATATTTCTCAGTTGCTTCTCACAATCACCTAGTGAAGTATCAAAGCACAGGTACAAGGCCTGCCTGCTCGCATTAACAGAACTTGCAAGTAGCAGAGGTCGTCTAGCTCTTATTTCAATGCTCTTTCTAAGATATTTACCTCTCTGGGAAAGTAACTGTATCTCTGTGTATAGTATGTCTCAGAACACTGTGGTTGTGCACTACTGCAGTATGCGTTTTATAACTGCATAGAATTTAAAAGAAATGTCACTTAGACAGTTCTCCCAAAGGATATGAACAAGTATTTGTCAAATAAAGACATAGTAAATATATTTAAAAGAACATTTAGAAAGGATTCTGAATTGATAACTGTTTATTAAAGAGTTTAAGCACTCACTGCTGCTTTTCTTGGTCCCCAGGGTTTGGCCATCTTCTAAAGAATTTGACCCTACTGAAGAACTATCTTGACTATCTTGATGAGGCAGCTGAAGAAATCCTTCACTGGAGTCTGAGCGGGTAGGTGTTAATGTTAGAGATTTTTGACGTTCTCGATTAATATCCTTCTTGGACTTTATCAATTTTCTCATTTTGAGAGTAATCCAGTTGCCTCTCCTAACAGAATAATTTAAAAATGTTCTTAATGTAAAATTCAACATATAAATCCTTCACAAACTCAGAAGTCCTCACAATACTAGAAATAACAACTTTTTCAAACTAAAAATTCATAAACCTTGATTAATGGTACCTTCTAGGAGGAGATGGGTCATAAAACTTGTATTGATCCATAATTTTCTCTTCTAATTTCTCCTTTTGTCGTCTTAATTCATTTAACTTATCACTATAAAAATAAAAATTACTTTTTAGAAATGCATCATATATAGTACAGCTATGAATAACAGTAAATTATTTTGTGACTTTGATCTCACTTCTCAAAACACAAACATATGGTTAACTGTCAACTAAGAATTTACTAGGAAGTAACAATGGAATTTTTCCATGTTTCTCCTTTTCTTTAACTTTCAAACTTAAAAAAAATCTGGAATGTAAGTTTCAGTTCTTCAACAGGACTTCTTTGAAGAAAAATTTTCCCTGTAAAGGAATTCTCTCAACATTTTTTTATACCTCTTAAACACTGTCAACATTAACTATTTCTCTACTCCCTATCAATTATATAAGCAAAAAAGTTGGGTATTTAGTCTGCCTATAAGCAAACTGTAGATATAGTAAGTAATCTTCCCACTACAGTATATCTTGATGCGAACAGACTTTCTTCCTTTTTGGTGGAATTATGTGGGTTTAATTTACTTGTACACAATTATTTCTTGACCCCAGCAGTAGAAAGTACATTACTTTTGTCACATTCTAGACTCTGCTTTTTTGAGACAGAGTCTTGTTATGTTTTTTTTGTTTGTTTGTTTGTTTTTCTCCGGTACCGGGAACCGAATTCACGACCTTGTGCTTGCCAGGCAGGCGCTTTTGCCGCTGAGCTAAATCCCCAGCCCCAGAGTCTTGTTATGTTGCCCAGGCTAGCTCTGAATTGCTGATCTTCCAGCCCCAGCCTCCACAGCTCTGTGTACCACTGCACTTAGCTCCTAGTCTCATTTCTATATTCTCAGCAGTATTTTTTATACAGAGAAACATCAATGATCACAGACCAAAGTATAGTGATGTCTCTTAAAAAAAAACTGCAATGGCAAAAAGTACTATTTACTCAGTAAACAATTTGTGATAATTTGCAATGAGGAGAGTATCAAGTACAGTATATATAAAGATGAATAATGAGTAGCTCTACTTATGATACAGTGGGAGAGTGAATATTCATAAACAGTTGTGAGGGAGTTAGCAGTACCAAAATCAAAGTATTGTGAAGTATAACAGGAACCTATAAAAAGGGAAATAATTTCATCTTGGAAGATCAAAGAAATCTTCATGAAGGAAAAGGCCAAATTATACAGACTGAAAAGGAAAGATAAGGCCTCTCTTGTTGTTTCTGCTGTCTTCTGCTGACATGAACAGTTGACCCTCTGCTTTGTGCTGCCCTGCCTCAGACTGAGACCTCTACAAACTATGAGGTAAATAAACCTTTCCTCCTTTAATCTTGGGTGTTGGGTATTTTGTCTCAGAAACAAGAGAAAATTAACTAAGAATTTGGTACCAGGGAAGTGGGGGTCATTGCTGTAACTACAGCTGATCACGAGGTTCATGAGCCTCTAGGAATGGCTTGTGGGAAGAGTTAGGAAAGGTCTGGAGATGCCAGCTGAAAAAGCAGAGCTGGAACACCTTAGACTGTTCTTTATGGGAGATTCTGCTCAGAGCTCAGAAGATCAGAGGTTGATAGAAATGCTGTCAGTAAAGACCAGGCTCAGGTTTTTTCTGCTGGGAAGAAAGAATGCATTGGCTGTTGGACTCCAGATGATGAGTGTTATGGCTTGGCAAAAAGTTTGTCTGCATTTTGCTCGTGTCTAGTGGCTGCCTGACACTGAGATTACGGGTGGAGGACTAATTTTATAGAAGAAAGTTCAAGGTAGTTGAATGTTGAGGCGGTGGCATGGCTACTGCTGGGGGCTTTTAGCCAGATTCATGTTGAGAATGAAGAGCAAAGAGCCCAGCAGAATGATTTAAAATGTTGAGAGTGGCCAGAAAGGAAGCTCCAGTAAAGCTATGGACTGAGAAGAGGAGGTCTTGATTGCTGAGAAATAACAGGAGAATAGAAAAGATGGCCTATGGGCATCACAAGTAGCAGCAGGACCCCACCCTTTGCAGCCTCAAAATTGCAAAAGTGAAAGACTTTGCTTTGAGAAGAGAGCCCCAGAGCACCATGTTCCAGAACATTGGTAGCCACCTAGAGAATTTGTTCCTCGGAACTGGATTCGGAATGCTCAGCGATCCAGGCATTCAACCCTCACAGCCAAGAGAGAGGGAAGCCTGGTTACTGTTCCAGCTGGCAGCAGACATTGGCATCATCCACGTGGCACTGGTTTTAGGTGCAAGCAGCATACAAGAATTGCAGGGTGAAGAAGGCTTCCACCCAGATTTCAGAAGAACGCCTGGGAAGCCAGGCAGCGTGGTCCTGAGAGAGCAGTGTGTGAAACTGAGTATGACGCCAAAGGTGTCCTGAAGACCCCAGAAGTTTGGAGGAGTCAGGAACGTGGATCATCTGAGGAAAACTGCAAGGATGGAGCAGAGTAGGCCCAAGAGAGAACCATGGGAGCTACCACCACCACCACCAGAAGTGCCACAGGGGTGGAGCCACCCAACCCCTATGTTTACATCTTGTCACAGACTGCCTCCTTGCACATGGAACTACAGGACTTAACGTTTGACCTGCTGGATTTTGGACTTGCTTTGGTCCATTCCTTTGTATCCTCTACTTGTACCTTTTGGAATTGAAATGTCTACCTGTACCACTGAATGTTGAAAATATTTAATGTTCTTTTCATTTGTACAGAGGCTCATAGCTAAGAGTTTGCCTTAAATCTCAGAGGAGACTTTGGACTTGGACTTTTCAGCAATGCTCAACTGTTAGGATTTCAGCAATTCTTTCCATAAAAGAATGTACATGAGTATTTGGGGATTCAAGGGGGGAATGTTAGGATTAGTGTCTAGATGTCCCCCAAAAACTACATGCAGTATGTATGGGGGGCAGCGCAGGCTTTGCAGAGGTGGCTGAATCTACAGTTTGTGTTAGCAAAGTTTTTTTTTTTTTTTTTTTTCCAGTACTAGGGATTGAACTCAGGACCTTGCACTTGCCAGGCAGGCACTTATGCCACTGAGCTAAATCCCCAGCCCTTGAATCTACAGTTTGTGATTGATTCAAAGTCCAATGCTGGGATTAAGGGTGTGAGTATACCCCCACCTTGGGTGGGTAGCCTACATACAATACAAGGGACAGGAAGAGGCTTGCCTCTTGCGTCCCTTATTGCTTTTGCTGTGTTCCACTGCCATGACCCTCTGCCATGTGCCACCGTGCCTTGGAGCCAGCTATGGACTGAAACTTCTACAAACTTTTTTCTCAAAAAAGAATCATATATATTGACCTTTATTAAAGTAACATTATGTATAAAATATTTTGCTGAAGGTACTTAAACCTCATGATGGATCAGGATACTGTGGTAACTTGCTTCATGGATTTAATTCTTTCCACAATTCTGGTCACAGAATTTGATTGCAGCCAGAATCATGGAAAGAATTAAGCTTATGAACTGAGGTACCACTGTTATTTCTGGTTTATTAGCACATGCCTGTAATGAACACATATTGAAATAATGACAGATATAAGGGAATTAAGACTTGAGCTCAGCTGAGACTTGAGGATTCAGTGGGAGTTTCCTTGAGGTGTCATACCAGGCCACAAGAACACTAATGTGAAAACATGGAGGTAAGGTGTATATGGTATGGTGTATGACCTAAAAACTATTCTTTCTTGAGCCAAACTGAAGAAAAAGGAGTAGGAGCAAAATGAATAAACAGGAACCAACTCAGGAAAGTTTTTCTATGCCGTACAGTGGAGTTGAGATCAAATTATAAGAGAACTGTGAGAGAGAAAACTGGCCAGCGAAATTATTGATAAGTAATGTCTCCATTGAGCACATAGGAATCTGCAAAGACTCCAAGATTTGGGCCTGATTGCGACAGTGGGTGTCTCTGTATTATACCAGGATTAGCCTTTACTAAATTCTCTTTCCCTTTATCCACTAAAACGAAAAGCACTGAAATATAATAGAAATAGCCAGATGTTGAAATCAAACAACCCCTAATTCATATCTCAGTTCTTCACCTTACTATCTATATGACCATGAATAAGTCATTTTCTTTCCCTGATCATTAGCTTCTTCTTTAAAAAAGAAGTAATCATAGCAACTTCCAGGATTATCCTTAAAAATAAATGAAATAATATTTCTCTGATTTTTAGACTTAAAGTACATGATAAGCTGGGGTACGTATGAACCCAGGATACATAATACATTTTTCTGAAGCATCATTTTTATTATAGAATGTGGGGTGAAAAACATTATTTCTTTGTTAATACCCAGTTTGCATTAACTTTTAAGATAAACGACTAAGAAATTTCATTCTAATGGCTGGCCACTTTTTCTCTCTCTTAGTTCTCTTATAATTTGATCTCAACTCCACTGTATAGCATAGAAAAACTTTTCTGAATTGGTTCCTGACTGTTTATCCATTTTGCTCCTGTTCCCTTTTCTTCAGTTTGGCTCAAGAAAGAATAATTTTTAGGTCATACACCATACCTTACCTCCATGTTTTTGCATTAGTGTTCTTGTGGCTTGGTATGCCGCCTCAAGGAAACTCCCACTGAATCCTCAAGTCTCAGCTGAGCTCAAGTCTTAATTCCCTTGTATCTGCTGTATTTCTATAGCCCCTTGTACATACTTCTATTACAGAATTACTGTATTTAAACATTTACTTGCATTTATTGCTTTATATTACTGAATTTTTTAGAATGGAACTTGTATTTTCATCTGTTATTTCTGGTTTATTACCACATACCTATAATGAGCACATATTGAAATAATGACATTGAAAATCTAGAAAAATGAGCATGAATTTTTCCCTCTCGCTAGGTTTGGCAATGATGGCATCACGAGTAATTTTTCAGAGAGTGCAAAATTATTTGGTACCTACATGTACTGTCTTTGTTCAACATGAAAAAGATCCTTGCTTTCCATGTTCTGCTCCAGTAGTGTTCTGTTTTGTAGCATTAATGTCTGAATTTGATCTAGTAGATGTCGATTTTCTTCTTCCAAGTTCCCTTTAAGTTGGCTGAGCAACTGTTTAAATATAAAATCTATTTTAAAAATCCACATTTAACATAAATAATCTGAAACATCTAAAACATATGAAGTATTTCATAAAGATTTAAATATTTACTGTTTGAACAATTAGATGCCTATATGTTGATCCAAATTTGAATGATTATTTTAGTGATGAAAATAGTAATAGCATTGGGTTACATGCTGTATATACACTGGGTCTAATAGATAAATTGTCTGGTTTCAAATACACTGCTTTCTATTTTCACAACTGTACAACTTAATTATCAAAAAGCCAGATTCAAATCTTTGACCTTATATCTAAGTAGCTAAGATATGTTGGGACATGTAAATCCTCAAATATGAAAAATGAGGATAGCACCTTAATCCTGCAAGATTGTTACAAGGATTAAATAATTTATGTGAAGTATCTGGTAATATACACAGTAGATACTTAATACATCTCATTCTTTCCCCAACCACCATTTTCAAGAAAGCTTGAAAGTCTGTGTTTAGTTTTGGGGATTTCATCAAGGAGAGTCAGGTAATTTAGTCGATAATTATTACTAGCAAGTTTGAGCTTTCTGTATGCAGTTAGCAGAAACTGGACATACACTCTTGATAGGTCAAAAGAGATGTCAGAAAGCCCAAAGCAGTGATTCTCATCACTTTTAGAGTAGATTGCTGGGCCTTAGCATTTGAATCCAGCAGGTATGGAATAAAGTAAAGATGTAAACAGTATTAAAAAGGAAAAAGCAAGCAAAACATACCCCTCACAACCATTACTCTTCTTTCTCCCTGCAAAGGGAGAAATTTTTGGACAATTCTCAAAAGGTACAAAAAATCAGGAAGAATGATACTTATCAATAATCATAACCATCTAGATCTACCACTGTCAATACTATGTTGTGTTTGGTTTAATTATATATTGTTACATTAAAATATGTGCGGTAGATTCACTGAAAAATAGAGTGCACTTGTTCTCTTTTCTACCTATACTTCCTTGCAATATGACTATTCACTGTTCTCACTAAGCAGTAGGGAAAACTGGAATGCATTTATTCTTTTCTCTATTGATGCTTCTCTCTATGACTCTTTACTCTTCCCATCTAGCACTGGAATCTATTTTCCCTCTTCTTGAATTTAGAAAAGGTGGAAAAGAAAGAGTGCAGTGATTATGTGTGAGTTCCTATGCCTCAAAAGGCTTTGTGTTCTTCCACTTGGTCTACTAGAACTCTTCCCAGAGTATCAGCAATCAAGTAGAACAGGGAAGAGATATTCTAGGTGGCTTCCATAGAGACTGGCTAGCTCCCCAGCATATCTACCAGCTAACTGCAGATGCAGAAGTAAACTCCTGGCCTATATATCAGTGAGGTGCATCAGCACATCTGGTTTGCCAACTCACAGACTCCTGTGCAAAAAGAGTGTTCATCACCTGAGGTTTTATGACTCTTACAGAGCATTATTATGTCAAAAGACAACTGATGAGACATATACACAGAAAAGGAAAAAAATTTAAGTATACATATAGCTAAATGAATTATCTCAAAGTTAGCACATGTTAAATCAGCACACAAATCAAGAAATATTAATTGTATTTGAGAAATGCTATTGTACTAACTTCCAGTCACCATCTCTTTCCAAGTTTAACTACCATCCTGACCTCTTATACCATAAGTTTATTTTTCAACCTTTGCAGTCAGGGCTCATTCTGGTCTGTCCTGGTCAGCCTTCCAGACTACTAGTGACATGTGAGACTTTCTCAAAATCTACTGTAAGGGGCTGGGGATTTAGCTCAGCGGCAAAAGCGCCTGCCTGGCAAGCGCAAGGTCGTGAGTTCGGTTCCCGGTACCGGAGAAAAACCAAAAAAAAAAAAAAAATCTACTGTGACTGTCTCATTTCTTGGATCTCCTAGATTTCTGACTAGTTAACTTGTCTATGTGCTTCAACATTATTTCAACCTCAGGATGTCTGAGGGTTGACCTGGTAATTTTCCTATGCAGGGAACCTCCCACCCCCTGCCTTTTGTGTGTGTATGTGTATTACTGAAGGCTGAACCTCTGGCCTTTACACTGAGCTACATCCTCAGCACTTTTTTATTTTTCATTTTGAGACTGGATCTTACTAAGTCATTAATATCCATGCTGGGCTCAAAAACTTGAGATCTTCCAGCCTCAACCTCCCAGACTGGTAGGATTATACGCATGTGCCACCACACCTGGCTGTCATGGGGCTTTTCTGTGCTCTGCTCCAAGTAAGTCAGTCTCCTCCAGTATCAAAAGTGCTGGTTTTGAAAGCTTGCCCCATGCTCTGTCAGAATGACTAGGTAGCTGAACCATGACAGGGGAAGGGAAAAGAGAAGGCACAATATAGAAATATTTCAGACGACAGTTACTCCCAAAGGTGAACAGTTTTTCTTTAATAAATGCCTCTCAGTTTAAATCCTAGAATCTTAAAATGGTTGTTTTTGACATTTTTTTTTTTTTTGGTACCAGGAATTGAACTCAGGACCTTGCGCTTGCTAGGCAGGCCCTGTGCTGCTGAGCTTCTCCCCAGTCCTGTTTTTGACATTTCTGACCATTTTTTTTCTCTCAGGAGTTGATTTACTATGCTCCTCTACCATTCCAGAAGTATACCATCTTAACTATATTTTATTTAGACTTTTATAAATCATTCATAGAATAAATGCTGTGAACTGTCTAGATTTTGTTGGGTAAATTATTTTCTTTCAAACCAGTTTTCTTTCTACTGGTTTATAATTTAGATTTAGAATATACAGTTGTGTTTTCATTAAAGAAGCACAAAATTTTAAAATTTTCAATGTATCTGGTGATATAAATTTAAACTAATAGTAAAAAAATGATGAAATTCATGATGCAGTTTTTCTGTTTTGTTTTGTTTTTGTTTTTTTCCGGTACCGGGAATCGAACTCACGACCTTGCGCTTGCCAGGCAGGCGCTGTGCCGCTGAGCTAAATCCCCAGCCCCATGATACAGTTTTTCTGAAATGTGAATCTCAGTGATCCATGATCACTTCTTTTAGAAGCATCCCATTGAGTACATACTGCAACTGCTATTATAATATGATTTATTTTTTAGGTATGCCTTGATACCACAGGAGAGAAACACTAATTAAAACTCAGTAACGCTTACCTCACACTGGTTATTCAGCTTGGTGGATGTGATGTCTAGTTGCTGGTATTGTTCCTTCAGCTTTGAGAATTCAGCTTCTAATCTTGTTTGTTCCAGTTTAGAATTATTTAGGAGACTTTTCAAGTTTTTATGGTCAGTTTGTAGAACTTCAGTCTCTTTTAAAAGCTGACTATATGTATGATTCAACCTATAGTTAGAAGCAATGATAGAGTTAGATTTTTTTAATAGCTTTGGTTTTGTTTACAATGTGAAAATGCTATAAATAACAAGCATACTGAAGAGAATAAAAAGATTCTTTACTAATTACAAATCTTAAGACTATTTCCTTTCTGTGAAAAATAGATTTTAAAAATCCCAAGTACCTCTCTCTAGAAAAGAATTATTTAGCTTTAAAATACATTGAATAAGGAAAAATACAAATTTAATGCATTGAATTTAAGGTATTAATACAAATTTTAGATCAGTGGTCCCCAACCTTTGTGGCACCATGGATTGGTATTGTGGAAGACAATTTTTCCGAGGGGGAAAGCTGAGAGTGTGGTTTTAGGATGATTAAAGCATATTACATTTATTGTGGATTTTATTTTTATTGTTTTTTTCTTCTTCTTACATTAGATTCACATAAGGAGTGTATAACCTAGTTCTCTTGCATGAGCAGTTCACAATAGGATTCATGTTCCTTTGAGGATCTAATGCCTCCGCTGACCTGAGAGGAGGCAGAGCTCAGGCTGTAAAGGGAGCAATGGGGTGCTGCTGTAAATGCAGATGTAAGCTCTGCTCACTTGCCTGCAGCGCAACTCCTGCTGTGAAGAGTGGTTCCCTAACAGCCGCAGACCAGCACCTGGTCCAAGACCCAGGGGTTGGGGATCCCTGTTTTTGACTAAATGACGAAAGAGGAGACTAGTCCAGTTTTGATTTCAGAAAATTCAGATTCGAAAATTCAACATGAAACAAATATGACATCAAAAGAATAAATAAATCCAGTATGAAGTACTATGTCAGTGTGCTGGCTGACAACTGATACAGGTTTAACCAAATTTTTGTTGTTGAGATTTTTACAAATGTCAAAAATTATTCCTATTTATGTTATTCCCAGTTATTATGCTATAGGTTTTTGTTCCCAAGATTCAGCTTCAAAACAAGCAAAGTCCATGGATCTCTAAGGCCAGGGATGAACAAACTTTCTATGAAGGACCACAGAGTACACACATAAGGCCATGGAGACCACAACACTCTCTGTTGTATACTCCTTGCCCTCCCATCCCACCTACCTTTTAACATGTAAAGTTTTCTCCTAGTATGGGGGCTGTACTGAAAGAGACAACAAGCTGGATTTGGCCAACTGCACTGGCTGGCATTTGCCAATCTCTATGTTGAGGTAAACTATTAGATGGTCTAAACAAGGACAACCTGAGCAAAAGTTTGTTTTACTTGTTTGCCTCTTTTCTGTGAGTTCGTTTTTTATTTCTCAAGGCTTTCAAGTAAAATCCATAAGACAAATAGAACTGTAAATAAAAATAAATTAGCCTGCAAATTATTAGGCTGTAATCTGTAGCAGTTTCAAAAGAATTAGGATATCAGGCTAGTGAAAAGACAGACAACTAGGTTCAATGACATTCTACTTCAACAAGTATATAAATTTCACCAAGTATACAACTTTTGATGAGTAATACAACCTAAAAACTTAATTTGCTAAACATAAAAAGAATAATAAGGTAAATGGAGAACTAGGTTTTTGAGTCATTCTCTAACTGCCTAACTTTGTTAAGTAGTTTACTTATTATTCCGAGGGTTTTTTTTGAGCCAGGGTCTCACTATGCAGTTCAGGCTGGCCTTCAACTCACTTTATAGCCCTGGCTGGCTTCAAACTCCCAGTGATCCTCCTGCCTCAGCTTCCTGAGTGCTGGAATTACAGGTATGCATCACTATGCACAGCTTATTCCAAGTTTTAAAACAAATCTTTTTTAAAGGAACTATATCAAATATATTATACTTCATTTTTTAAATTCTTATTTAAAATTAGAGTTGGTATTACAAATATATACCATGTATTTCAGATATAAGGAATATAGAATTAAAACATGTAAGTATTTATTACCTATCATTTTCACCACAAAGTTTCTTGTACTCTGCAGCTACCATCTCATGGTTTTTACTTTCAAGCAGCATTTTTTCCTGCTCCACTTTGAGCATTTTTTCCAAATCTTCCAATTGTCCCTTCTGTTTTAATAACTGATTGTAACTAGGGAAAGAAAGTGAAGTATGGGTTTACAATATTTTCAAAAAATTTCAAAAACAAGGGAGATGAGTAATTTTATTAATATATATGACACAAAACACATGAATTTATATAAATTGTCTACATAAATTGCCTCTGAGATGTGTTTAACACAATATTTATTTTAGTACTGAAGAAAATTTGTTTTAAATTAACAACACCACAGAATATTTTATTATTATTACCGGTCTTCAAGATCTTTATGTTCTGCCTCAAGATTTTTGTGGGCAGACTTCAGAGTTCCATGTTTAGCGATGAGAGATTCATACTCTGAAGCCTGCCTTTCATGAAGAAGTTCCAGCTTTTCATGATCCTTGATAAGTGAATCATAGAGAGATTTCAAATCTTCTCGTTCTTTGATTATAGATTCATTTTCATTTTCTAAGGAAGACTGCTGAATTAGGAGTTGTGCATTTTGGTTCATAAGTGAGGTACTTTGGGAATTAAGGGTGGAATTTTCAACCTGGAAGAATACATATTAACAGACAGAAGAGAAATAGTTCATGTTGTTGTTTTTAAAGTCATAATTTTAATAACTTAAGAAGACTCTAATGAGTTAATAGATTTATTTATATTACACTGGGAAAGTCTGGATGATTTATTTTCCCAAAGCATAAGGTGGCCATTTAATTTTTATTTTTGAAAGTATTACATACATATATATACACATACATATTTACATATATACATTATATATGTTTTAGGTTGGATTTGTTTTAAATGAAGGTAATTACCAAGAACTTATATGGTATTCCACTTATGAAAAGGTAAAGAATTTAAAATGCTAGTTTAACATTTCTAGAATTTGGGAGTTGATACAACTGAAAAATTGTATTTGGAAATTTCCTAAAGTTCAAATTAGATTAGCCATTGCTTTACCACTTGGAAAAGGGACAAGGAAGGAACCTGTTTCTGCCCTTTAAGAGGTTTGAAAGAGTTGCACTCTTCCTCACTAGATTGTTCTGTTTAAAAAAAGCACCATCAGTTTTTATAAGAAAAAGATCCTTTCCACTAAGGATAAGACTAATAACAAAATTCCCACTAACTGGTAAGAAACCAGTTAAAATGAAATAAACAGTATACTGCAACTACACTCTACAGCAAGGGCTTCTGATTAATTAGAATCAATTTCTTTAAATGATGGAAATGATCATTAAGTAAATAAAATCACCTTTAATTCTCGGTATCTTGCAGTGAATTTAGTGACTGATTGGTACTGGCAATCGAACTCAGGACCTTGCGCTTGCCAGGCTGGTGCTTGTGCCACTGAGCTATATCCCTGGCCCCTGAATTTATTAATATTTAGAGGCTCTGACATGTAAAAACACTCATATTTGACAGTTTGGCAAGAAAATTAAAACATTTTCATTTATTTCAATTAATCATTAAATTCACTCACGGAGAATGTTTATATGGCTATCCTTCCTTATTTTAATAGCACAATTTAAGAGTGTGGCAAATCCCCAAAATGTTACATTACAACCTGAAGTTTGGCATTCTGTGTCTGAAGAGTGGTATTCTGTTCCTGTAATGACACTGTCTGCCTCTGAAGTGCAAGAATTTGAGCCTGCAAATTATTATTCTGTGTTTCAAGCTGCTTCAGTTGAGTTTTCAATGCTTGCTTCTCTGCTTGTAGTGTAGCATTCTTTAAAAAAAAAAAAAGACCACAAAAATTAAAATTAAAAACAATATCAAACATTTCTTTAATAAGATACTGGTATTTTGTTCAGTGTGCATTTATACTATTACAATTCAAAAACAATATTCAATAATTTTTAAAAGTTCCCTTTATCTCAAATTAGAAACAATTTAATCTAATAAATAGGTAATAATGCTAGATCTTTACTACTGTGCATGTACTGTCTGCTTTATAATGTGCTACAAATAAAATATTTCAGCATAAATACGGTTATTAACATAAGAAAGTAGAGTAAGACTGTCCGAGTCATGATTTTATATTGCTCCAAAGTACAAAGTGGGGCTGTACCCTACCCACCTAGAAGGGTTTGCCCTTTCTGCTTACCCAAAGGCAAATGTATATGCAGGTGAGTGGAAGTCCCAGAGATAGCAACAAAACTAAGTATTTTCCAAACAAATTGGAGGCTTATAGGGACAACCTTAACTCTGTTTAAAACATTTAGTCCACAACAGATCTCACAGGTATTGATATTTTCTTAAAATTTTTATTAACAAGTATTTGCAGTACGTAATGATTATATTCATCGTCGGGAGCTGGGACATGTATGTAACACATCTCAATTCCTTTTATTTCTCCTCCTCTGCCTCTCCTTTAACCTCCCTCCATCTCTTGATCTCCTTCCTATTTGGAAAAGATTTATCTCCCTATTTCCTATTATGTCTTTTATTTTGGTCTTTAATGTATTTATACTTTGGGTTTCTCATGTAAGAGAACCCATGTGCTATTTAAACTTGTGTCTCTGATTTGTTTCACTTAATATAATGGTTTCAAGGCACATCCATTTTCCCTACAAATGACTCAAATTTATTTTTCTTTATGGCAGACTAAGACTCTATTGTGTGTAAATACCACCTATTCTTTAGTCACTCATTTGAAGGATCTATATGCAGCTTCCAAGATTTAGATATTACAAATTGTACTGCTGTGAACATGGGTATGCTTGTATCACTGTAATATGGTATCGTTAACTCTTCTGAGAAGACATCTAGAAGGGGAATAGCTGGAGCAAACTGGAATTGTTATTTTAGTTTTTTTAAGGAAACTCTATACTGATTTCCATAATGGTTATACTAGTTTACATTCCCACCAAAAATAAGGAAGAGTTCCTTTTCCTCTATACCATCAACAGCATTTATTATTGTTTCATGATAGTCATTTTTTCTGGAGTAAGATGAAATGTCAGTGTTGATTTAATTTACATTTTTCTAACGGCTAGAGATGCTGAACATTTTTTTCATGTATTTATTGGCCATTTGTACATCCTCTGAGAAGTGTCGACTCATCTCAGTTTCCTATTTTTTGACTGGCTCATTCAATTTGAGGGGTCTGGTTCAGTTCACCTCTTTATATATTCTAGATATCAGCACTCTGCCTTTGGAGTAATTGGCAAAATTTTTCCCATTCTGTTGGTTGTCTGCTGTGCAAAAACATTTAAACTTGACATAATCATATCTGTTGATAGCTGTTATTTCTTGGGTAATTGGCGTTTTGTTCAGAAAATCCTTTCCTACACCTTTCTTCAAGAGTTGCACTGATTTAAATCTTCCAGCAGATGTGTTTTTGCTTTAATATTCAGATATTTGATCCATTTTGATTTTACTTTAGTACATGGTAGGGGATATGGGTCTAGATTCAACCTTCTACAAATGGACAGCCAGTTTTCCCAGCACCATTTGTTTTGTTGTTGTTTTGGGGTTTTTTTGTACCAGGAATCGAACTCAGGACTTCACGCTTGCCAGGCAAGCTCTATGCCACTGAGCTATGTTCTTGGCCCCAGCACCGTTTGTTAAGGAGGCTATCTTCCCTCCAGAGTATGTTTTCTGCTACATTAGCAAAGATCAGAGGGCTGAATGTGCCTGGGGTTGTTTCTATATCCTCTATTCTGTTCCACTGACCCGTATGTCTGATGAGTGCCAGTACCATGCTATTTTATCACTGTAGCTTTGTAATACAACTTGAAATCTGGGACTGTGATGCCTCTTGCTTTGCTTTTGTTGCCCAGGATTGCTTCTGCTATTGTGGGCCTTCTCTGGTACCACATGAATTTTAATTAAGATTGTTTTATTTAGTTCTGCAAGCACTGCTATTGGTATTTTGATTGCATTAAATCTATGTACCTGTTCTGGTATAAAGCCATTTTGATAGTATTAGTTTTTATCTATCCAGCAACAGGGGGCATCTTTTCATTTTCTGATATCTTTTTTTATCTCTTTTTTCATTTTAGGGTTCCTCACTTCCTTCATTAGGTTAGTTTCCAAGTATTTAATTTTCTTGATGCTACTGTGAATGATAACTAGAGCAAATTTCCATCTTGGTGAATTCACTATTGGTATACAGAAAAACTACTGATTTCTGTGCACTGATATTGTATCCTGCTACATTACTGAATAAGGTTAGGTTATTACTTCTAGGCATCTCGTTGAAATTTTTTTTGGGTCGTCTATGTAAAAGATTATGTCATCTGCAAATAATGATAATTTTACTTCTTCCTTTCTTGTATGTATACCTTTTTTCTTTTTTTCTCTGGCCTATTGCTCTGCTAGTATTTTGAGTACTATACTGAACAAGAGTGAACATCCTTAATCTTGTTCCTGATTTTAGGGGAACACTTTCAGCTTTTCCTGATTTAATACAATGCTGGCAGTTAGTATGTCATAAAATGGCTTTTATCAAATTGAGGTATCTTCTTGGTTCAGTTTTGGTAATTTATATATATATCTGGAAAACTATGGACTTCTCGATTCTTTTTTTTTTTTTTTTGTCTTTTTAAGACAGGGTCTTATTATGCAGTTCAGGCTGGCTTTGAACTCGCAATGATCCTCCTGTCTCAGCCTCCCAAGTGCTGCGATTACAGGTGTGTGCCACTATGCCTGGCTTGGTACATTTTCATGGACTCTTAATTCTTTCCAAACTTATTCTTCATGTTTTCTATCACTTTTTAAAAGCTCAGCTAGCTTTTTATTCGTGTCTTCTTTTTTTTGGTCTTTTTGAGAGAGGGTCTCACTGTGCAGTTCAGGCTGGCCTTGAGCTCACTTTGTAGCCCAGGCTGGTCTCAAACTCACAACTCTCCTGAGTGCTGGGATTACAGGTGTGTGCCACCGCGCCTGGCTATTCGTGTCTTCTATAAGCTCACTATCATTTTATCAAATCCATTATCTGATTATATTATCTTTATGCTCACCAAGACCTCGCTGATTTTTTTTTTTTTTTTTTTTTTTTTTTTTTATCATTTGGTATAATTCAGCTGTTTGGTTTTTGATTGCTTCCCCTTTGATGCCCTATGGGTCAGCTTTAGGTGAATAGGGAGTTTTGGAGTCATTTTGTTACCTTTTTTCATGGTTCCGTTTATTTTCTTTATTTGGAGGGAGAGTCTCACTAGTTCACTATATCCTTAAACTATGTAATGTAGCAAAGGCTGTCTTCAAATTTGAGATTTTAGCTCTGCCTCAGCCTCCTATATGCAGGGATTACAGGCATGCACTACTACACCCAGCAATTTTACTTGTTTTTTTGGCTGAGATTTACAGGTTGATTATAGTGCGAAGACTTTGTTGCTAGTATGGCAGTCTCTAGTTAGGGTCTGCTTTCCAGTGGGCTCTGGATATGGTTAACTACAGGTCTTTGGCTCTATTCCAAGATCTGACCACCTCCATTAATTTGGGACAGGGAGAGTGCAGGCCCTATATCATTTTCTGGAAATGAACTGTAGCATTGTTTTTGTCTTTTTGAGACAGAGTCTCACTATGCAGTACAGGCTGGCCTTGAGCTCACATTGTAGCCCAGTCTGGTCCCAAAATTGTTATGATCCTCCTGCCTCAGACTCCCTAGTGCTGGGATTACAGGAGTGCGCCACCACGCCCGGCAAACCGTAGCACTGTTGATGACACACAGACAAAGCAGATACTGACATATAGTAAAAACCAATCAATAGCAACAACTATGTCACCCTGGCCAGAGCAAGAAAATCAACAATAATAAAGTCAAAAATGAACTGGATTTTGACGATAAGAGCCAAAAAAGCTATCACTGTACAACCCTGAAAAACAGAAAAGAGATCTATAATTGTAATAGAACCACAAAGACAAACCAATATTGATACAAAGAAAATATCTACTACTTATGCAACTAAATCATCATTAACAACAGAGAATTCAACAGTAAATAGCATAGAGTCACCTTGATACTTAAAGATCAGTAAAACTTAACTGTAACAGTAAAGATGGAGGGAATAGGAGAGGGGAAAACAAAAGATGTAAAATCTGAAAAACAAGTGCAAGGTGAGGAGAGAAAAAAGAATCTTACTAAGAAGTAAAAGAAAACTAACTACATAAAGGAAGATGTTATATATTGTCTTTATTCTTTTCATGGTACAATCACTAAAACTATTACAACGGTAGGACTTCTGGAATATACCCAAACAAATCACATCATTTTCAGTTTTTTCAGTACATGCACTTAAGTGAATTATTACACAAATTAGAGATAATTTTTAACGTGATCGACATTAAATGCTTGACATGGATATTATATATTTAAGATTATTAACATATTAAATTTCATTAAAAAGAAATTGGCATCAAAATGTACGAAGATGCTACCAGATCATAGAAACAAAACTTTAGCATACAAAAGGGCCATAATTGGCTTCTCACTACAATATGCATGTTACAATTGACTTACAACAGCATTTTTATCTCTATTAGGAGACATTAATTTACTTTCGTATTATGTATGCTACAAGTCACTGAATAAAAGGCAGATCATGACTTGATCCATGTATTATACCATAAAATCAAAACTGAAGAAGCAAAATGTGCAAAATGTGTTGTTTTTGTATCTCAGAATATCTCAGAGAAGAAAACACTTACACTTTTTTTTTGGTACCGGGAATCAAACTCATGACCTTGTGCTTGCCAGGCAGGCGCTGTACCACTGAGCTATATTCT